TCGCTCGGTCCATACTAAAGCACCTCAGTCTGATATTTCACAGTGCAGACCTCATACTCAGTCAATATTATTCGGGCTTTACCGGTTCAGTTATTCGCTGCGGTGCAAACACCGCAATATTAATAAACACTGTAGACCATGCACGTATACGTAGCTTGTGTTCGCTATCTTTTAATTTGCATTTCGATCACTGATAGCCCGGCAAAATATTAACTCCCCCATATTTGAAGACTTAAGGCTCATTTTATACATCAGAACATCAATTCGTAGCTAATTACTCATTCTCATCTATCAAAAGAAGAAAATAGCACGAAAAATCGCAGCAAAATCGCCAGTGTAAACGAGCCTTTACATGCAGACTTTTTATACTTAGCCTTAGTAGAGGTCAGTGGAATGCAATACATCCATATAATTTAATAAACAATCTTCGCGTGCATTGGCGTAAATCTAGTCACGCGATTGGTCAAAATCAATCACGGGGTTTCTTGTTGCCTAGCGACAGATCATGGGAATCATAATTTATTCGCCATAATCCATGAAAATCAAGGCTTATTCAAAACTATCAGCCTGCAAAGTGCAAAGAAGCTTGGATCTATTGGATGTATAGATTGCATGCCATTGACCTCTACTAAGGTTAAGTATAAAAAGTCTGTAAAAGCCCGTTTACATGCATTTGCGATTTTTCCTGTGATCTCATATCCGGTGCAGACAAGTACAGGTGTCATAATATTTATTTAAATTGTCCTTCGAACAACGCTTATGAATACAATCAATCGTTTCAAATCACAGCAGAAGATTTTATTTTTCAGTTCCTTCTGAAATAAAAAAACAAAACCGACGTGACAAAAGTTTGTCTATCGAATGTAATGATCGTTGGATCTAAGTTAAGTTTACAATTTTATCGATAAACTGGAATCATTTCGTGAGGACCCCCACCGCCTCATCCATGTGTCAACATAACACGCATGCATCATATTTAACATAATTCGAAATTTCGCAAGACCGAATTAGCTTGGGCAAATTGTTATTAAAAAAAGTGATCGGTTTATCTTCGGTTGAAACACTTGAATTAGACACTTCAGGTTATCTTAGATACTCGGTATGACAGAAATTGTGACAGGTATTCTCAGTTCAACAGCTGGTCTATTGTGGAATAAAGCCATTGACTGGACGGCTGAAAAACTCGACGACGACCTAGCTGATGCGGAAATTCGAAAGCTTGTGGTAAACGAGATAGACGATATCAAGGCCAGAATTGATGGCTTTTCCCGAGCAACTTTACTCGCTAGTCACGATTTTCTGCTGGAAGGAGTCAATTTACTTAATGCTTCTCTGGATAAAATATCTTCGGGGCAGAAAGCGAGTGGCGGAGCTTCTGCGAACCTTGGTGGATCGTCAGACGAGTATGGCGTCTTGAACCGAGCATTTGAGCTTTCTCGTGCAATGGAACAGCTTAAACTCAACGGCGATAGAAAGCTTGAAACTGCGAGAGAAAGATTTAAAGAAGCACACAAGACAGCGGTCACCGCTTTCTGGAATGAAGCATTTAGTATCGAGGATCGGATATTGGCTGCGAAGCTACGAATAATTTCGGAGATACTAGAAAATCTCGATAGTCCTGAGACCGCAATCACTGGATGCTTGCCGTTTCTGAAAACTCTGCATAGCTTACCAGCCATTCAGGATATGTTCTTGGTGTATTTGGACGGCGGGGTTAAATCGTTTCTAAAGAAAACGGAAAGACAGGAGAACGTCAAGTCGGTTATGATAATTAACTACGTGTTGTTTCATTACGTCTCGAGATTCAGCAACAAGCGTTTATTCGAAGTGTCCGCCTGTTTACCAACGATTGACCTTCAATCTCATAGGCGGTTTCACCCAATAAGAGATTGGTACGAAATTTTCGAAAAAATTCAGTGTACGAAAAAAGAGTTAACCCATCCTCCAAACGAGCTCTCGCTTGATGAACGAATCGCCACCTTATCTGGTGTGAACAGTAAGGGAGATGTTCTCACTATCCCTGAGACTCAGCCGCTTGAGAACATCGCGATTGTTTCTGAGACAGGAAAAATCAAGCGGGTTACGTTACCTGAATTTATACGTGGTATTCATTTGGCGTCTGCTGTCGATATCAATAACAATATTTACTTGGTGAGAGAAGTCGAAGGGCGCTCTGGTAAAGAATTGCTTTTGACGATTTTGGACGAGAATTTTGACGTAAAAGCAGGACATAGTTTGGATTATCTTAGCACGGTGATGCCGATATCCTCTTGCCCGATTAAGATCGCGATATGCAAACAAGGTGATATCATTATAATCCTGGAGAAAGATCCACGAGTGTATGTTTTTGATGAGGTCGGTCAATTCAAATACAAGTTTATACGTAAGTCCAGTACGTCGGCGTCATTGAGTATCTCTTCGCAGAATGAAATTATGATACCAACGGACAATCGTAAGGCGGTTGAAATATACACAAAGAGAGGAGACCTAAAGGCAACACTAAAACTCCCAAAAGGACACAAGGTATTGGGTGCGGTATTTCATTGCGTATTTGGTAAGATAAAGGTCTTAACCTGTGCGAGAGAGGGGAAAGATTCTTTCTTTATTCTGTGCTATTCTGATGAAGACGGGAAGCTGGAGAACCTTTCGTTCTTCGGCAGCAAAATTGAAAATCAGAAACCTCCACGTTTGACATCCCATCCCAAAGGTCCTGTGGCTGTGGTTGGGGAGGAAAGCATCACTTACATTTAATTAGAAAAGAAACAAAACCGCAAAAACCAGCATTACTGCCAAAAAACAGTAAAAAACGTGACATCAAATATAGTATATAGAAACCTATATATAAGGTGACTTGGGCAAACATTATAATGTATATAATATATATAGATGTATACATCTGAAAACCGGGCTAACCGAAGAAAGTTGCGATTGTCGATATTTGAAAGACTTCAAACATGTTGGACATTGGCTTGGACTGTGCCGCATACAAAAAATATATATATATATTTATATATATATATATATATATATATATATATATATATATATACTCGTTTTAAAAAACATGTTTCTATAAATTTGTTTCATATAGGAAATCTTTAAATTTTTTATTTTATAGCATTCAGGTTGCAGCCGATAAACGGCATTTCCATTACAGTGAAATACACAAAGATTCTTATGTATACTAAGATCTCCCAGTATTTAAATATATTGTTCAAGTATATTTTGCATAATAAAACGGTTCACGCGCATTCACCTAAGAGCTATAAACATTCAAAAAATTAAAGAAAATGGGATAATTTGAACCAGCTTTAATTAATCATCTTTCAAACATGAGTTTAAAGAGCCACTGATTCAGTGTTCATGAGATCTAACAAACTTCACGTTAGTAGACAGCGATGCATGTAACTATATTTTCAAATATTTCTAGTAGCGCTAAATATATGATATTATATTAATATAATAATAATAATAATACACCAGGAAATGCTTCTCCACCCTGATTGGTTGATTTCAGTGCAATTAATCCCAAACAGTAGTGCAAAAATGTGTAGCGCGCAGTGCAAATTCCTGTAACAGCAGTGCAAAATCCTGTTACAAATATATTATCGAAGATTTCCTTGCATATCATCATAATATAATTTCTCGTGCAATTACGAATAAACACACACCGTGCCAAGGTCGAATATACCATTTTCCGGTATATTCTTCGGTTCAGTTCCTTATACGGATAAAGTCGAATATACAATAATCGACCTAAGTAAATACAACCTTACCAATTAAGTTTTAATATGCCATATTCGTTCTCACCAAATAATATAATTGCGTTCGACGAAGGAGAATTCTAATTTCTAATTCTGATTCGCGCGGTGTCCCGCGTGGTTTTGCATGCCATTCGATTTTAGGCTTTTACGCCATCTTGGATGGACTATGTCTCACATCTTGCCTCGATTTCGTGTGTGACGTACTCGATTTTACAATCCTATTACTAATTACTGTACACTCGCAAATTCTTATGGATGCGAGCACTTGAGTTTTTCAGTGCTATTTCATTTTGCTCGGAACTTTAACTCTAGCACAAGCTCTTCACATTTTGTTCTGCAGTCTTTCTACAATCCTAATTTCTTTTCAATTTTTTGTTATTCGCCTTAAAGACACTTCAACTTAGCCTTGTAGTTGCCGTTTATACCTATATTTATTGTCACTGCCAATTGCCATAATTATGCACGAGACTAGAGTTATATATATTTCGCCGTATATTAGCAAGAAAAAGTCCATAGAAAATTTAGTAAAAATCAACTGGTAATAAAAAATCGAATGCACTTGCCTAATCTTTGATTACTACTAGTTTCAGTTGTACAACATTAACAGTTGCCTCACAGCCCTCACTTGCCTGTGTCATCAAGGCCTTCCTGTGATGATCCTAAGAGTTCCTGTGTTTTGCTTTGGTAAATCCCAAGATCTAAAAAATCTTGCAGAGGGTGAACTAACTCAGTGTTTACCTATGTTTGGGATCCCTTTTACCAAATACTTTGCAACTCAGAATTTTCATTTGGAAATTCGGCAACTTTGTTTACAAAAACCGGGCCTATATAAAAGTCGACAGATTCCCATAAAAGTTTCTTTTGTTTAAATTTCTATTGTTTTATCATCTTTGTTCCACAGAGTTTTTACTCTCTCCCAATGTTGTTATACCTGAGCATTACAAAAGATTCTATTGCATCTTCAGGGGCTTTGCAAGAGAAATGCGTGTGAATTCTTTAACAATACCAGGGGTACCCAGGGGGGGGGGTTATTATGTGATTTTTCTACTGAGAAAGTCGCTTGCAAAAAACGTACTCCAAATGCAAAATGTTGCCAAAAACTACCAATCACAATCCGTAGAAGGGTTGTAATTTCAAAAAGTACTTTTGTAAAATTCTGTAAGCATTTGAATATGAATTTTATCTTCATAAAGTGGTAACACCAATTCACCCACAAAGTAAAGCGGTCGTTGTCCCACATGTTTGTTGTTGGAAGTTTTCAGACATGGCTGGAGCCGATATTGATCTTTATGCTGGTGTTGGAGAGTTAGATTCTGATTTAAATCAGGTATTTTAAGCGTTATGTTATTCCTTATAATCTGTAGCTTCTTTGTTTTGTATAAAACACCGCAAAGTGCCCTGTAAATTGGAAAATTTTGATGTTAGTTTTGTGCCACACTGACTCTGGCACTGCCACTAGAATCAATTTCGACAATTTAGTTGTAGAAATGGTTCAGTTTCCACTACCCTTTTTTCAATGTGAATCTCATCAAATGAATTATTGTGTTAGTTTTCTGCAATGTTTTTATTATTTGGAAGCATGGTTCAAATTTATTGCAAGAATTAAAAATTTATTTTTTATACACGGTGCAGTTCAGTTTAGTCATGAGTGGTTGATGTCCGAAGTCTAATGACCAGCTTAATAGTGCAATTTTGAATTTATTTATTCTTGGTAAATAACCTGAGAGCTTTTTACAAAATCCCACTTATCTGAAATAATAATGCTAGAAAACCTTGGTATTGAATTTTAAAGTAAAATGATTATGGCCGTATATAGTCACTGGCTATAGTCACTGAACAATAGGCTGCTGGCTGTTTATTTTTTTAAAGATTTCATATCTATATTCAAAACAATTATTTACAGTATTCCCCCTTTCAGCTAATATACTCCCACCTAGTAAAATATAATCATCAGAGCCCGAATTATTGAATTTAAAGTTTATCAAGTCACCTTGGGTCCTGACAGGAAAGTATGCAAACTATGCGACCGAGATTAAAATCTTTGTCACAGAGGTTAATTTAGGGAAAAAATAATAAATTTTGTATCTCTGTTTAGTCTGGAGTATCTTCAGGATTTGGTGGAGATATTTATGAAGATGTTTTAGCTACCTCTGCTAGCCAACCACCAACACATCAACAACAAGTAATATTCTTAACATTTGGATTTATTGGTCTACTCTTCACTGAGCCAAGATCTTCATTGCAATTATCTTCAGCATTCTTAAAATATGTTGATGAGTTATAATTTTCCAGACAGTAATGGCCTAATTTTGCTATACAATATTCAAATTTATCAAAGACTAAGTGAACTGTTTGTCATAACAGAAATATATAAACATACTATGCCTAAAAATTGTCTTTTATTGTTTGTAGTTTGTTCCTGGGCCACCTGAAGTCAGTGCAAGTAAGTGAACTTTAGTAAAAGTTAAACATTTTGCATGTTATATTGTTTTGGCACAAGAATGCCTTGACTTTTATTGTGAAGTACTGTTACATAAATATCATGTCTCACTATAAACAGGGGGTGTAATGTGATAACTAGTCTGATTTTGCACAGTAACTGCCAGAATCTAGAATATTTCAATTTCTCCTGTAATTTTATGAATAAAGGTGGTAAGGTGTTCCTAAATATTTGTCCTGTAATTTTATCAATAAAGGTGGCACGTATGAGTACAAGTCATTCACAACTATTCATCCAAAATCTGCTCAAGCGCAAGCAGCTGCCTCACAGATACCTGATAAACCAAAAGGAAAACCTCTTTACGTTGGAAACTTCACATGGGTATAGTAACTATTTCAAGTTTATATGTATAGTGTATGCTTGGGTGATATGTTTGTGGGGGTTTTCTTACCTTACAACTATTTTGGTTTTGTATAATCAAACATCAACTCTTGATTCTACCCATTAAGAAAATGGGTACGGTCCAATTTTTTGTCTGTACGCACATACAGGGGCGGCGCTAGAGTGTGGTTGCATGTGCATGCAACATCCCTGCTTGTAACAAGTCAAGATATGTTATCTTTAGTCAGAGCCAGAACAGACTATTTGATCTTACCAATGAGAGCAGAATAATTAACAGCTAATCTAGAAGCTCCAATTTCAAGAATTTTCTCACTTGTCGCCAACCATAGTGGTGACTCATATAACTAGGCTCATGACATAATAAAAACTTTATAAGGCCTGGTATTATTATGCTTATATTTTAATAGTAAACAATACTCTGATGAAAATCAATACCATTATGTTACATCATGAACCATGTTTAGGCGAAATATTTTGTTTGAATGTCATCTTAAGCTAATACGTATTGTACATGCGAAGGACTGTTAAAGTCTGTTGTAAAACGCTGTAAATGCTGTGTCTGTTGTAAAAGCTCTGGATATTAGATAATGGTTTGAATCAGACTTTCATGATGTGCTAAAATTATTATGAGGAATATGTCAGCCTACTGTATAGACTTCATGATGGTTGTTGTTTGAAAATGCGTTGCAGCTTAGAGTTTCAGGTTTTGATCTCTTTTAGCCTAAGCCATGTTCTTCTAAGCCTAGCCTAAGCAGACTTTTCTTTTTCAAAATGATAGTCACTGATAGTTTACAAAGCATATTTTGAAATCTTAAACATTCACTAAGCATCTTTAGAATAGTTCTTGTTGTGTGTGTGTGTGGGGGGGGGGTGCTTCACCTTTAAAAAATCAATAACGTTTCATGAGCACTATTAAGGATAATTCGTCTTATACATGTACATTTTGTGTGTAGACGTCTATTTCAGGAATAAAAGTTCTATTTGAAAGTTGGTTATGTCCTAGCTATATAACACTAATAATCAGCTACAAGTATGATCTATCATTTTTGAGTCGTCTCACTCATGAGTTGTGAACATCTATGACGTCGTACAATGACGTCAGTCACACGTCACACATTTTTTTTACAATTTTGCTACTTCACCCTCGTCATTTGTGTTCCGTAGGTTTACTATGCATATTTTGTTAATTAACTAAGAATTAACTAAGACATTAACTAAGACATTAACTTGGAGTTAAAAAGTACATATGTAGCTACAGTATGTAGTGCGTAAGAAGTCAGCTACCTGTAGATTGTGATTATTATTGTTACATGTAAATAATTATGATATACAAACAATTTGTGAAACTTCATTAGTGGACGACTGATCAACAACTGGAAGATGCACTGCAAGAGTGTGGCGTCACAGACATTGTTCAAATTAAGTTTTTTGAAAACAGAGCAAATGGTCAATCAAAGGGGTAGGTATTGCTGATTTTTATATATTATGAGATATATTTAGATACATCGCATACCTATAAACTCTATTCCACATATTTTTTTTAAGTAATGCAAAAATCGTAAATGCCTTAGATATTATATTTCAAATTTCATCATATGCAACGAATCCATAGGTGTTCACGATAGGCAATCGTTCTAACGCAATATATCTAATTAATTGCCCCCAATTAAGTACTCATTTTCATTCAATCAGGAAGTAATTGTGTGTTACCCTGGATATAATGAATTTCCAATTATCTCAAACTAATGTCGTATGTTCATGATTACGGTTTAGACTATAGCCAAACACCAAGCTCTGGATGCGTGGCCAGCAATTTAATAAGCTTGAATAATTATGGCGTCTTCTACTTGTATTAAATATGATCGTCAGGCCTCCATATACTGTAGAAAATGTACAAATAAACCTGTGAATATTTTGTCGCAAATCATCCCAGAAATTTGGGGGAAAATGCATTGTATATTACTGTGAAAATCGGTGCATAACTTGTAATTACTACAGTTGCATCTACATGTACTCTATATTTCGTACAAGTTGCCTATTTAGCATTTTGTAAAATCAAAAGTGAAGAATTTCTGTAATCTGACCTTTAATTTATGATTCACCACCCCATATTGGCAGTATAATCGGCGGAAACGTTGTATAATACAAGGTGGTTACACCTTTCTCATTCACTAACTTAAAGTTTTGTTTGTATAGCTACAAAATAATTTCTGATACTGTTTAGTTATGCTAACATATATTTTGTATATTGGTATATAATGTACAGTATAGTGTTGACCAGTCAACTAAGTATCTGCAATGCAGTCTTTGTAAAATGAAATTTATGCGATTATAAACGGTCAATTGGAGTGGTTAAATACGTGCCTTCCTGGTACGAGATCGTGATTATATCGCATTTGTTGCATTTTGTAAAGAGAGCGAGTTTCTGCAAACAATTATTGCAGATACCTAGTTTACGGATACCTCATGGATATTTTTAACATGCTTGTTAAATTACGTTTAAGCATGCGGAGTTGTTAAATAAACAAATTAATATATCATTGTATATTTTTCAAATACAAATAAATTTACGGTACTCAATACTTATAGTCAATATCGAATTTTCCTTAATGTTGTAACGTCGTGTGTAGTTTGTGCCGTTGTGTTTGTGCTGTGGTATTTGTTATCCTTTAATGTGCTCGCTTTTTTACGTAGTATTTTAAAATTTATACCTAAATAATTTTGATGTATTTTCCCAAGGTAGGTTATACACGCATGTTACATGTGCATAAATGTCGTTGCAGATGGGGTATTTGATTTTTTTTGTTGTTTTGCTCGATTTGTGGACATAACAACAGTGATAATTGTTTAATGGAAGAAAATGCTTAATTTGTTAGATTTTCGCTTCTCGAGAGTAGTTTTAATGAAAACAATATAACTGAGGACTATGGTTTGTTTTCGCTAATTTGTGTATACAACTTGTTACCTTTCTAATGCTGGAAAACTTTGGTTTTAGGTATGCTTTGGTCGAACTGGGTTCAGATGTCTCTGTTAGATTGGTTAGTGAAAAATTACCTCTAAGGTGAGTAAATACAACCCACACTTTGAGAATTTTTTCAAAAGAAATTGGCGCAGAACAAATTGTTTATATTCTTGGGAACTTGAAGTTGATCGTATGAAACTTTGAATTTGGTTTTGCTTAGTTTAATCGTTTAGTTTGCTCAGAAATACGCTGGTTTGATTGGAATTACTCTAGTTAAAATTTAATTGCAAGTTAATTTAAGGGCCTCCTGATCCTATTTCTCCTCTATTTTCTCTCTTTCTGAACATATATAATTGATATTTTAGGGAAATCAACGGTCAGACGCCTGTAGTTACTCCCGCTACTAAAACACATTTACAACAATTCGAGGTCACTGCCAGAAAAAGTAAGTTTGTTATGACATTTCATTCATAAACCTAAATATAACAGTATAACCAAGGAGCAGCGTGGCAGCGTCTTCAAACAACTTAGCATCAAATGTGGTATAACAACTGCCTAAATAGACAAAACACTTCTCGACCTTTCGACCTGAGGGCCTTCGTCAGGAGAGTCAGTATAACTAACTAACTCTCCTGACGGAGGCCCTCAGGTCGAAACGTCGAGAAGTGTTTTGTCTATTTAGGCAGTTGTTATACCACATTTGATGCTAAATATAACAGGTATAAATATAACATGTATAGCTGTTGTTATATTCTGTCTAAAGATGACTCTGAAATCTCTCAACCTGCATGTGTCCTGTTTGAATCTTATATTAACTGTCAAGCTGTGTTGTCTGTTGAGATTTTTTTTACTTTGCCTCGTTATATTATTATGATATCGATTATATTTAGAATCCGTTATGTTTGTTTTTCAAACGATTGTTGCCCGATTTATATAGCATGCCATAGTTTATGTGATCGCACTTAAAATTTTCCATTTGCAAAACCCCCAAACCTGAAGAATTTGTAAAACATGCCGAGTGAAATAACCAGTGTACGGTTATTTTTACCGCCAGTTTTACAGCTGAATCGAGTTCAAGTTAACATAGATCTCAGTGTGAGCTTCAGTGCTTGAGCCTTCTCAAATACGAGTTCTCCAAAACGTTGGAATTGACCGGCGAAAAATTATACAACAGGCGCATATTGATATATTCTCACCAAAACTTTGATTATGTCTACAGTATTTGGTCCATGAACGGCCGCTTTACGAAAAGTTTGCCTAAATAGTTACTTCTCAAATGTTTTCAGTCAACCCGTCATTAAACAGTCATCAAGACAATGATGCTGGCGCGGGTCGTGGATTTGGTCGTGGTTTTCGTGGCCGTGGTGGAATGCGTCCTGGTATGGGTAGAGCTACAGAGTTGGCTCCGCCTGATATGGCTATAGCTACACCATGGATGCGTGAGTGCTTTTAGGGGCAGTTAATAAAAAGGACATTTCTATACTTGAGGGCCTTCCTGAGCAGAGTTAGCGTTTCAAATGAAAGAGAGTCATGCATAGTTAGGCCAAAACGTCGAGATTCGAGTGTTTTTGTCTATTTAGACAATTATATCGCTTGTGTTAAGAGACTCTGCTACTCCATCCCTTCGTTATATGGGTTGCTAAGGCTGGAAAGCTCTATCCACCGAAAGGGATTTTTCAACCATTGTAAAAATGGAGAGCGTTATCCAGCTTTCGTACAACCAGCGTTTCTCCGAGAACGGAACTCCTTTGTTCCATCTTATTTTCTGGTTAATTTGATGTTTTATTTTCGTAGCCCCTGGAGTTCCTATAATACGTGGACCACCACCTGTGATACCTGGGATGATAACTCCCCACGGAGAAAAACTACCACCTGGAATGGCAATACCTGCAAGTATGGTAGGTGCTGAGATGCGAGACCGTCTTAAAAATAATTACGTTACAACCTTACATGTAAATGAAAATTCCTAATGCTATAAGCTATTGAAGAGTAAATTGGAAATAAGTCTAGTACCGAAAACGAATGTATAGGGCCACGTAAATTTCTACATCATCGATCAAAATATGTCTTGTGCTTAGGAAGAAAGTTTTGCCTCTTTAGCAGATAGCTTGTGAGAGCCTAAAATCCGTTTATTTAAGGTGTAAATCCGTGAACTTTAAGGTGGTTTTAAAGGAAAACAATAATGTGGAACTTAATTTCAGAAAAATTGTATTCTCTGAAGCAGTATCTTCGTCATTGTAAATTTTTGCTTTCAATAATACATAGTACAATTTTATTATTTAGGGTGGTCCTCCCCCTCCGATGGGCATGATAATGCCTATTCCTGGAGACCATGGTAAGTTGCTCGTGTTAAAAATAGACTTGTAAAGTGCGCTTATGACCGCAAAGTGTCAGGACGGCAAATGACGACGAATAGGGAGGGGGTAAACTGTGATTTGACACGTGTAAATCACATGTGGCTTGGCACTGCGTTCTGTACAAATTAGCTCGCAGAATAAGATGGTGAACGAAACTGACACGTTATTTTTGTACTGTATAACGTTGTACTATTAAATATTACACTTATCAATTTATAAAAGAAGGTCAATTCGGAAATCATGGAAAATGGAGAATCGTAGTTTTCAAATTGTACTAAAATTGTTAGCTGATAAATTTTTAATTTCTCGTAGGTTTACCAAAACCTCAAGTCGCTCCTCATTTTAATCCAGCATTTTTCCCCCCTGAAGGAGCCCCGGTAAGTATATTTATACACGAGTTTGGTTGATTTGCACGGGGGTGTCAAGAGCGTAGACTCGTGTAAAGCATGTTTTTTGTTAAAGTATGCAATACAAAAATAGGACTGGGTAATTTAACTAATGTATACCGTGAGCTTAAAGGCCCTGTGACACGGTGCCATTTTTCTTGCAACTTGCAATGCAATTCTTCTGAGACATTTTCTTTATTACAATCCATGGCTTGGTTTCAATATTGAGCGACCTGACTGAGCCATTTTTGTATTATTTAGACTATTCTATTGTTAACAAAGCTCGTTTTAAAATCTTCACATTTCTATATACGTCTTTTACCTTCAGCCCGATCCTATGATGCCTGGAATGGTGCCCCCAGGACCCAGGTATGTACTCTGGTTAAAAAGATGAACACAATTTGCAATGCGTAATATAAGTATTCCATGTTTTTACAAATAGTAATCAACTTTTTCTTTACATGGCCCGTATAAGTTTCACTCTTTTGAAATGAATTTAACCGTTTCCGAACGAAACGAGTTGCGATTTCAAAATGAATAAAAACAAGATGCCATAACCCACCAACCAGTATTTGATATAACTTTTGATATCATGAACCATGTAAAACCAAAATGGAGGAACATCGATAACCTGGTGGAAACTTGCCTAATTTTTAGATTCGAAGGTGATTTTATGGCGCGTGGTATACCTCCTGACATGTATGGGCAATTTCCCAGACCTGGTAAGTTTTTCAAATTACTTAGCAAATCGTTTAAAGCTCTGTCTACTACACTCAATTTTGTGACACGGCACGGCTAAAATGGTGCCCAGGCCCAATTTTATTAGTGCTCAGGCCACCAAAACAAAGGCCGTGCGCGAATGATATAGGCAGTTTACACTACACTCAATTTAAATATCGACACGGCACGGCTAAAATGGGCACCCGTACTAACTTATCCGTGCTCGGCCTTTGTATTAGTGGCCTGAGCACTAATAAAACTGGGTACGGGTACCAATTTTATCCGTGCCGTGCCAATGAATTGAGTGTAGTGTAAACGAGGCTTAAGTTGTTGTGCATCGTTCAATAATCCAACCACCCAGTAGAGCAAAAATTGTTTAGGTGCCCTATGATACGCGTATCGTCTGTTGCGATATACGTGAGCGCCACTGTAATTGTAGATATTTAAGTCGTGTGATTTGCTAACAAATGATATGATAATGTTTCGCATGTCGCATGTTTTGCCCTATGAATGTATTGCTAATGTCCTGTCGAACATTTCAGGTGGAGATTTCGACGAATTGACAAGACAAAATCAGATATTGACAAGCAACTCCATCAAGAAGGCGATGGTAGATTCTACTGCAGGTATGAAATAGTAACTTAGTAAGGAAAGGTGAAATGATTCTAAAAATTCAAAGATTGCCCGACATTATTGGAGAAAATAGACCTGTGCAACATTGTCATGTTCCACGTCCAGTGTCACATGCTCGATACCTGTGAAACATTGCCCGACTTAATGCCTGCCTGCGTAACACGCACGGTTATTATGCCCCGTAAAACATACCCTATGAAATATGGCCGAAATGTGATATTCTCTGATCCAATTTCTATGAAACATAGCCCGACCTTATGCCAGGGTGATATGCTCAGTTCCTATGCCCATTGAAACATGCTCTAGGCAACATAACCCGCCCCAAAGTCTTGTGTTACACTGCTTATACTCAAAGTCAGCGTAAGATACGTTGACTCCACGCTATTACCTTATTTTATGCTCAGTCTAATATGGCCATGCAGATCCCAACTCTAGCGAAGCATACCATGGCCAACTCTCGTTTTAGACCGATCAGCAAATTTGTTCACATTTGCATTAACGTAATCGGAATGACTACTTTCTGTACAAAGCGCATTTATGCACTTTGATGTATCACGAATACATGAAGTATTACAAGTTTAGGCATTCTGATTGGCTTTGCCTGAATACTGTAAACAAATTCCTCCTTTAAAACGAAATTCCTCCTGGTTAGAAAGCGACTAAACCAAATATATTAGCTATGTGCCTTTTTAATGGTTGATCAAGCTGAGATGTAATTTCCGTAATCTTAATACGATACATTGTTCTCTATTGTGTTTATATTTCAGGTCAACATGAGATCGCCATCGAAACTTTAGTTCAAGCAATTTCAATCATAAAACAGTCTCCAGTTGCTCATGAAGAAACCAGTCAGGTAAACATTGATTGCATTAGACCTTTCCTATAAAACCAACAAGCGTGGAAGTCTGATGTCACGCGAAGTTTGATGAGATGGTTAGTTGTGCACAGACATGCGATGATAAACTTCGTTTAACATCCATATCGTAACGTCTACTATTGTGTTAAGCAATATTCTCCTCTCTGCATGTAGATACTCGTTCAATCTCTTCAAGATTGCTTGCAAGGAATTGAACAACAGATGATTTCAAGCTCCGCTAGTGATAGAGCAAAGTAAGTAAAACACTGAATGCCTGGTTGTTGGTTCAGTAAAAGTGCGATTCTCATTGCGATCAGTTTTAGACCAGCCTTTTTGTGAAATAATATGGCACAACGCCTTGTAGAAGTTTTCGGGCTTTTCGCAACATTATATTACACAAACCTGTACAGTGATAGATTGAGATCTTTCTACTCCAAGAAAGTTGCATTTTTGCGATTAACGATCGTAGAAGTGGTCTCAATGATCTAGGAATGGCAGCGTGACACCATATAAGAATACACATACTACCATTCATTCATAAAGCATAACCAGACCACGTCACATTTGTAGAACGTTTTGGTTTACACAATTTTATAATATACAATGATTTTTTCGACAACTACGACACTACTGGTGAAACTTTGTAGTATACGAGCTGATACACATTGCGAAGCTCAGTTTTTCCTGTTTAAACATCTACCTGTATTTTGCAATATTATTTATAGAGCTACAACACATCAGTTACTTTTCATTCGTTTTATATCAGGTCGGCTAAACGTGAATCACGTCGCTATAGTGATGACGATAATGGGGAAGGCGAACGTCGACGAAGAAAAAGAAGGTCAAGGTCGGGCTCTCGATCACGCAGCAGACGGTCTAGATCACGTGATCGCCGTTCCAGATCCCGTGATCGTGAAAAATATCGCAGTAGACGTTAAATACTGAGTGGTAAGTTGTTTGTGTTTACCATTGTATTATCCATATCGATAATTCCCTTGAACAAGTGTGCGATGGGCAACGTGAGGCGCTTGTTTTTGAAGTTGAACATGGGACGTGTTGGAACTGAGTTACGCGAGAAAAAAAATTTAATTTCCTCGCACGCCTGTGTGTTTTCAACATCGGCTGCAAAACTAAGGTCTGTTTAGACTACACAATAAGTTGTATGCAATTATCATTTTCAATTGACGAATGCAAAATAGAATTTAAACTGTCATGTTTGTGTACGTGTGTTGATACGTTCACATACGCCAGGGTACGAATCGTATACGGCAAATCGCATAGTGTAAATGATGGGCCTTTCTTCGGCAGAATCTTACAAACTATCTTGGTGGAAGAAAATCCACAGCCAGCCATGTTTTTCACGTTGAATTCAACAACCCTGTTGTTTTTTCATATTTTGGTGTATTACAAGTTGGTTTTATCGTATTTGTTTTATTTTTCTTTCAAACTAGGCCTGCATCAGATTGTTATATCAACGGTTATAGAGTGCTGCGGAGTTAGTCTGTAAAGCTGATCGATGCCAAAACTAGAACAACTTACGTTGCCTTGTGTAGTACAATTGTACGCTTCTCGACTACTTTATTCCTGATTGTCATCCGTGTACAGCTCGTCAACGATTAAAACTGTTTTTTAGCGAATGACAAAAAAGGAACTCCCTTTGCTTCATTTGAAGACAGTTTTCACTAGGCCGAGTTCCGAAGACAAAAATTCCGTTTGCAAAATTTTGTCTATAGTGCATGGAAAAGCCTAAGTGTATTTTTTAATAGTAGAATATAATTAGGACGTGAGCCATAATTGTGTCGTTTTTATCACTTTCAAAAATGGCAAAATAACTCGAAAAGAAAATAGAATTTGCTTTATCAATCTGTACTTAACGCGTGTCCCTTGTTTTTAATAAAGTGAGAATGCAACATCCTAAGGGGATTTTATTAAAAAGCTTGATGAGGGGGAAAATTGCTCCATATCCATTATACACATTATCCTCTAAGTGAGGTTTTGCTTCATTCCCCGAACCGGCACGGATCTTCGCGGAACGATAGTAAATACTGGTAATCAGAAACGTCCTGATTGGCTAAGGTGGCTAAGTTTGTATTTTATTGAGAACGTCAGCAAATTATTTAACTGTCTTTTCGCAAACTATTCAAAAGCGTGTTTATTAAAGGTTGACTGCAAATATTCGCAGCAAATTGGTTGTTATTGGCGAGGGGTGATGGCGTTGGTTAGAGTACATCTTTATCTTTGTGGTGGTGCGAATATCTCTCAATATAAGTAGACCAGCGATTAAAACTACACTTAGTTTCATAATTCTTTTAGTTGATATGTTATATATTTGAATATTTCCAATAATTGGCTGTATTACAGCCAAATTACTATACATCACATATACAAATTACAAATACTATACATCGTTATCTTCGAAAATTTCCTTGGAAGCGTTAAACGCCATTCTAAGATTTTGTCAATGATTCATTAAATCTATTAATAATTCGATCAATCTTGCGTGAGATGCAAATAACGTTCACAACGGTTTTTACAAACACTTGCACATAATACAGCTTGATGCAAAATTCCAAAAGATGTCCTACAACTTTCTACTAATAATTATTTTAACCACCGCTAGATTCTGGTGCTTATGAACTACACAAGTTTGAAAGTTATTTTTTATTACAGTATAATCTCAGTATATCTGAATTCGGTTATTTCCCCAGTCAGCAACGTATATGTCATCGTTCTCATCGACTGTGAGACCTTGAGGCGACTTTACTCGATCATCTGTGCTACATTCTAGCGCTCCAAGGCAACCTACAAAACATCCATCAGCCCGAAATATCTGAATCCGATTGTTACACGAGTCTGCTACGATGATATCCCCGTTACCTTTTACTGCGACACCTGTTGGCCAGCCAAATGCACCATTTCCCTTACCAGCTCTTCCAAACTTGAAAAGAAATTGGCCTGTGTTTGTAAATACTTGAATTCGATCATTTCCTAAATCGCTGACCACAATATGACCGCTTCCGTTCACTGTCACATAAGATGGATTGATAAATTGCCCATCACCAGACCCCACGCTGCCAAATTCTGCAATGACGTCACCGCCTCTGTTGTAAATTCTCACTCTACTCTTCTCGCGTTCTAACGTGATGATGTTATCGTCCTTGTCAACTATGACGTCACAGGGCTGAAATGTGTCTTCGTCGTCACCATAACATCTGATACTGCGCAGATAGTTATATTCACTGTCGAATATCTACAAGTGAGAACAATGTGACAACCTCGTACACGCGCATTCATTATTATCCAACATTAAGATTGCATTCAGCTACTTGCAACCATTTTATTATTAAAAAAGCACATGTGTTTGGGCTGTTTTTGTGCAATAAAAAACGCGTTAGCTGATGATTTGACAAAACACACATTCATGCCTGAGAACGTTTATTAGCTGACTGAATTTTCTAGTTTCTGGAGGATTTGCTGGAATGCACGACAAAATTGCATGGCTTGAATTGAAAATTTTATAAATCCTATATAAGCATATATAAAACTCTGTTGTGAAAGTCTGTTGTAATAAATAGTTTTTTTTTGCTGCATTTGCCGCATGGTTTTCCGAATGTTCAAACCTACCTGTATCCTGCCATTGCCTGTGTCTGCAATAACGATATTATCCTTGTTGGTAACCGCCACACCGCGTGGAAAATGAAATTGACCGTCTTCACTTCCCAAAGAGCCAAACATTCGGAGAAATCTTCCTGTCTTGGTAAATATCTAAATAACAATAAAAGCTGGCATATCAATTAACGGTTCGGAAATTAGGATCTGTAGTACTTATTGCATAACGCATAAAGTGTTGGGTAAAACAGAAATCGAAGCTGTTAAAATGTTCCTGCACTATATAGAAGTAAGAGCAGTTAACCAACGAAGAAATAATAATATTGGGCTGTTTTCAAATTTTCAATGACGTTACCCGCCATCTTGAATGTGTGGCATAAGCCTTTTATTCCACCGAGCCGCAGTGCTCAAAACTCGTTGTATTCTGTGTTTGTTTGCTTTCAAATAACGGCCCTTTCAATTTTTCCAAAATGACGAAAAGGCGAAAAGTGTGGTGTCACTTTTACAAAAGCCGATCAAAATTGTGATCGGAAAGTTTTGAGCTTAACAAATTAATTTTCAAGAGCTGAACAAATTTGTAATCAGCACTGGTAATTCTATCATTTCTCTCACATTTCGTCTATCATTTGCGTTCGCTCTCAGATGTGATGATCTCCGATCAGCTGCACAATTATTGGCTTTTTTCAAAAACAATTACGTCAGGGTACGTTCTGAATATTACAACAAAAAACAGTATGACCGATCGCCCGCATAATCCTTAACCCACCGTCCAATTGTATACCTGGACTCGATGACAGTTTGTATCTGTGGCAACTATCTGTCCTTTCTTGCATATTGCAATCCCATGAACATCCCAGAGTTCCCCTGGCTTCTTCGGATTTCTTTTAACACAGCGTGCAGACGTTCCTGGTGGAGTAGAACCAACTGGCGATATCGAGGGCTTACCAACGACAACTTCAAGTGGGGCTCCTGAGATGGGAACTCCGTCAAGGGTGACCATTACGCTATGGGTACCAGGCCTCTCTGTTTGAAAGTCCGCGCCACAACTCCCAGGATTGTCTGAAACATGCGAATATAGTTTCAGACGTCAAATTTTGATCCCAGAATTTAATTTATATGCTTCTGGAAGCTGAAAATTCGCGTCGCGTTGCCGCTTCGCGTCCGGTCTGTGTCGACCTTTACGCGTACAGCCACACGTATCTGGCGTTTTCGCCCACTGAATTCGAAACGGATCTGAAAACCCTCTCAAGGGTGGAAGAATTTGAAAACGACGGCTGAGCGGATACGTGTGGACGGCTTTGCCGGATAAATTTGAAAACGATGACATCTAATTTTTTTATTATCATCTCGCATGTTTTTTAATTCCTTACGTATACGTTTCTAATATTTTGCACCCGTCTTCTATGCCAGTTGTTGTTTTTACATGTCTGCTTTTACGCGCAAAGAAGTTTCATAAATGGTTACCTCTTTCCCTCTTCACTGGACTGATCAGTTCACCGCCTGGACCTCTGATATCAACACAAATCCCGGTCAACTCAGGAGAAGATTCCGAAATCGCCACATTCAAATTTTCAAAATCACTCAGATCGCGAACGCAACCGTTAATAACAACATTACCATTCACCTCAAGATACCCAAGAGATGTCCGTGCCATCCGTTGACCTCTGCTGGTCTCCTTTACGTGTTTCAGGTTGTTTTCTTCAACTGGATCAGCAGAAATTTTCTTCTTGCTTAAGACTTTCAGCCGATTTCCAATTGGCTCTCTGGTGAGGTAAAGTTCAACCTGTAAAGGAGAACACATGGATTTGGTCAATAGGCTATCGAGCAATAATGCTGGACCATTGAGATGAATAAACCCACGGCTGTTAGTTTATTCATCTCAATGTGCTGGACCCATACTAGTTGTGAGTTAACAACACTAAGTTTAGAAAATCAAAACGATAGTGGGTTGATTTTGTTGCGTTCTTATCAGTTGTTTTGTCAAAAGAAAAATACATTAAAAGTTTGAAAAGTTGACTAGACGTTCCTTACAATGAGTGTTTAAACTTGATGAGAGCATTTTTAACATTCCTGTTTTTACGGAGATTATAGTACTTTTATCATATTGACTGAATACAGCATTTGTTATATTTCGAGTCTCGTGGGGGGGGACGTCATCGTACCCAGCCCATTTGACGTGCTTCACGATTCAGCTTCAAATGAAATGAAAAATCAAGCTTTTACCAGCATATATGATATTGCTAGCGTGTATGGACTTGTGACAGAGTATAATAATAGATATCTATTATTTATTCTGTGCCTATGAACATGCATCGAATTTCAAAATCCGTCTTCAATGCAACAAAATGAGCACGATTCCTGGATACTCGTTTCCATTCCTCAGAGTGATAATCAAATACATCTAATTGTACATTCTAAATGAGCCTTACTTAATCAAACTACATCATACCTCACTTAAATACTTCAAAGAATGTTCGGCATAACTCCTTCCATATTCAAATGTCTCCAGTCTATTTTGTAGCAGTCTGGTCTGATCCTTGAGACTATGAAACTTTTTACTTTGAATTCGATCTATTTCAATAATCATGTCTTCCTCAGCCAGACGTATTTGTCTCACCATTTCTGTAGCAGTGTTATGAATGCTGTTCTTCAGACCCACTATGCTTGCGGTGATCATATCATTTGTTGTGTTCACTTCTTCGAGAGCTTTCTCGGCTTTTTCAATTTTAGATTTGACTTTTATTGTTAGGCTTTTAAACGAGTCGACAATTTCCTTGACACTTTTTGATTGTTCCATGTATTTGTACTTGTGACTCTTGTGGACGATCACCGTACACTCACGACAGATGAATTGCTTGCATTTGTCGCAAAAATACCTGAACGAAAATATATGGATCGTGTATACATTTAAGAAATTCAGCCTGAAATTGTATAAAGTGCTAAAATGCAGGATGGATGAAAATTCACTTTAAGCTACAGAAACAAGTCCTAGACGTCGAGGTCGGCAGTGATTAAATACGTCCTAAATATCCAAGTGGGCGACATAACATACACCTTCATATAAATGTGAATTTATACTAGATTACTTTATGAATTAAAATTAAGTACTATACCTTAGTTCTTCATTTGGATGTTCGTCACAGTATAGAGTACGGTGTGAAATTTGCTCATCCTCTTTTTCATAATCATTTAGTGTTATAATTTCATGATCTCGTGTCTGCCTCATGCGACGATGTATGCTCGAACATTCACTGCACAGGAACTCGCAACAGTTGAGACATCGATCGACAGCTTCCTCTGTATCCGTGCTACAGCTGGAACATAATGTCTTCTCCTCGTCGCCAGTTCTTCCTTGAGATATCAAGGATTCTCCGAGCACGTCTTTAGGCAGATTTGGAACTTCTTTCCTGCCGTGGTTTTCGGAGCATGTCGGACAAATGAGATCTTCATCTTCTTTGACAAACTTCAAGAGGCAAGCCGTACAATAGGAATGCAGACAAGGCAATAGGCGTGGATTCGTAAGCAGCTTCTCGCAAAAGCTACAAACCGTTTGCTCTTTTATCCTTTTCAAATCGGCCATTTTATTACGAGTTCGAATTCTCCTATTTAAAACACTCGTCGTTCATTTAAAAATAATATCGCAAATAAATACGCTGTTTAGTACTTGATTTGCAAATGACCTGCTGGGTAGGCAAATGTTTGATTAGAATTCTATGTTCATTGGAAGTGATCTTGATATAATATATAACCAGCCGTCCACTGTCACTTTAGTATTGTATTTATCAACAATATCAAACAGCAGAACAAAAGCCAGACTCTTATTAAGCCTTTCGTAGCATCTTCACTTATATTTTTCCACGTATACAGCGCACGTTTCGTCGTGTCGTGTTGCTATAACAACCTGCAGATTAGCGTGATAACCGGTATGTCGGAGGAACAAAATAATAAAAATGTACGAAATGAAAACAAGGGCAGGTTGTTGCAATGTATGATTCTTTGTAGCTAAAAAAATCGTTGAACTATTTTTTACTACATCGATTCTTGTTGTTAAAAAGAATATTCTAGGAAAAAAGCTTGCGTTCTTATTTGTTTATGTTCAGGATAATTTAGGTGTTAACATGCGTATAAATAGCAGATGGAAAATTTATTGCGACAAGCGTCGTCACGAATGTATTTAATCAACAACGCTTCGAACGTCATATTAAATTTGAATCGGAATACTTTCAACACCAAGGAATAGTAAAATACTTATATTACTTTTATGAAATAAAATCATCCTGTTGTAGCCTTAACTGTGAAATAAACTACAATTTTTAAACGTAAAGAGTTTATATGTACAAAACGGTGTAAATTTGTGTGTTTAAGCTATTTTTATGCATACATTAAACAAACGTTTCTCAGTAGCACTACAATGACATGAAGTGTTCACGTCTGCTACTATCTGTATTAGAAAGCAATTTTGACAAATATTGAAGCTGTGGAAGGAATGATATTCCCATTATATTTCCTATTTTCCCAATAATATAGGGAGTGTCGAAAAAAATGAATTTACTACAGACGCTATATTACAACTCATTTTTTTACCCCTTTCGGCAGAATAAAAAATAGAGTTTATAGGCTATTATTTAGCTGACGTTTCTCCGCATTTCAAGACAAACAAGTCTTGCTATATGCTATATCAATTGTTTTGATATACAAAGCTTTTAAATTAAGCGATGTTGATGAGAATTTTTGTTTCAATGTTTAAGAGCTGCGTGTGATCTTGCGACACAGTCCCTAATTCCTGCTACATAATTAATGTATTTTTCGTCGTTTCCTTGGCAACACAATACACGTCTAGTAAAGTACATTGTAAGCTTGTGTGTAACATTAGATATTTATAATAAAATTACATTAGGATGCCGTTTCATGCTGTTTTTAATTATATACACAGAATTCTTGATGAGCTCGCCAGCAATTAGAGACAATGGATACTCAGCTGAAATGCTTCGGAAAATTATGACGACCGCACGGGGTAGGGGATAAAACGCTGGGACTGAATCGCGGAAACGGAAAGCGGAAACTGAAACGGGGATAAAACGCTGGAATGGAAACAAAACGCTTTTGACTTTGTTTTAGGATAAACGCTGTTCCGTTAACCTTGCTTTAGGATATCTCCCGTTATTCCCCGCAACTTTTCAGTATTTCACGCGTTAATATAAATTTTCTCACTGCCGCCATCTTGCTTTTGACAATCTGTCTCGTTTTCGAAAACGGGGAGTTTTATGTCTTTATCACCAAACGGGTTATCAGGATTTTCCTGCTGACTATACGACAACTTACCGTTCCTATACGAGAACGATATGATACAAGGATATCAATGGTCCGTATAAAGGGTAGTCGCGTGCAGTTTATAAAAAACACGGCACTGAATGAAAAAAAAACAGTTTATCAATATCATACTCGTATTATTTATACATTATGGTTAAAGCATGCGTGAAAAGGTTTAGCTGCAATCATGCAACGTACAAATACAAGATTGTTTGTCCTGAAATCGCAACCGTCCGTTCTCCACTGCTCCAGCGACTTGGAACAGATCCAGCAAGTTACTGGCTAACTATGGTTCCAAAGATGTGCTGGTAAACCTGATATCGTACCTGGATTCATTCCGACAGTTCCAGCTGTCGATGGTTGGTGTAACTGTCCTGATAACACTTGCATAGTTTTTTTGTTCGGCTCTTCTGGCACTCCCAACAAATGCAGTACCTCACCCATGGCATATCCGTGTGGTGCACTTGTAGTATTATACCCTTGACTAACTTGCGTTACCGCATTCATTTCTTCTGTTGTGTTGCAAAGCTGGGTCCTTAAAAACTCACCATGCGTTGAGGCAGATTCAGAAAGCATGTTCGTAGCTTCTTGAGTATGTGTTTGCGATACTCCCGCATTAGATACAGAAAAATCAACATTTTCGACGTTTTGTGACGCTAACGCATGATTTGTGATGCCAACAGATGAACAGCCCATCGCACAGTCATCTTGTCTTCCTTCAACTGTACTACAAATAGTCGAAGCGTTTGAATCTCTCTCGTCATTTATCTTTGCGCCGGAGTTGGACGAACGAACGTCTTCTACAGCGTCTCTTTCCGCCACTGAATGACTTGATCCTAGCTCACAATCTTTTTTACGCGTGGCGACAACATCGACTGACATGGCTGCATCATCGGTATGGCAAGTATTCTCAATTTGAATAAGTATGATTGTATCTTCCGAGGTTGTTCTTAAATTAGAAATTTCGGTAGTTGAAGAATTTCCCTCATTTTTCAGTTCTTCCTGATTGTTTTCTGCTCGCGTGTCGTCTACAACAGTCGTTGGCTCAGAGTCTTCCTCCATCGTGTCGGTAGTAAGACGAAGATCAACCATGCTACACGGCACAATTTCCTCAGGTTTACATGCATGATGCTTGATCTGAGATTGATATTTAAATGTTTTCTTACACATCGAACACGCGTATGGTCGATCATTGGAGTGACTAACAAGATGAGCTTGAAGTCCAGCTTGCTGGTTGAACGATCGCTCACATCGGGTACATTTGAAAGGTTTCTCTCCACTGTGAATTCGCTCGTGAACCCTTAAATGTTCACGTCGACCAAAACATTTCTCGCAGACCTTGCAAGAAAATGGCTTCACTTCACTGTGAACAATTTTATGCGTTGCAAGATGACTGCGTCGATAGAATGCTTGATCACACTCATCGCATTTATACGGTCGAATGCCATTGTGGACCAATAGATGATCGCGTAGGCTATTCCTCGCCTTAAATCTCTTGCCACACTGTGGACATTCGTAGTTTTTCTCGTCAGAATGCGTTTCCTCGTGTTTTCTCATAAGATGTTTTGCCTTGAACTCCTTGCCGCATAAGTGACACGAGAAAGGTTTTTCATCACTGTGAACATACATGTGACGTTTCACGCCATCGGCAGTTTTGAACAATTTCAAGCATTCTTCACATTTAAAAGCTCTGGTATCTTCGTGTGTAGCTTCGTGTCTTGTCAGCTGCTGTTTGGACTGGAATAATTTACCACAACGACTACACTGTTCTGGTTGTACATCTGTTTTTCTGTTCAAATGATACTTGATGTGCCGGACCATGTTTCCAATATTTGGATACATTTTATCACAAATACAACAACGGAAGAGCTGCAAATTGGTCTTCGTTTCTTCAGGTGTTGGCCTTATCGTATCGTCACTGGTAGCTCCAGCTATCTCCTTTGTTTCCTTCGGACATGCTGTGAAAGATAGAGAAAAAAACTGAAAACCAAATCTTGATCACTAGTACAATGATTACATGACATAGTTACTTGAACTTACTTCAGGGGAGATCATTCTCTAATTATTGTTTGCCAAAAAAATACTATTTTTTGTCGGATAAAATTTTGATTGCATGCCCAATAGCTAGTCAAATTTCATCGGTACGTATTTTATTCGACTCCAAAATGTTCAATGGTAGCCAGTAGCCACTGGGATTGTTGAAATCTGGACTACACAAATAGCATCGGCAGCGGAACACATTTATTTTGGGGCGCTAAATTTTGAAAAATGTTTGTATGACAGGCCATAAAAATGTTTATATAAAATCGGTAACCAGGCATAAAAATGCACGTACGCTATGTGCCGTATCGATAGAAAACAAGCATGCATGAAATGTGAACGTTTCAAGCTTGAAACGTTTCGTTTAGGATAACTAAATGTTTGCTTCGCATGCTTTTTGTTTATTATTCATGTTAATAAATGTTTATAAATGTTTGAAACGTAAACAAAGCCGTAAACAAATCCGTTCACGATTCATACAAATGGTAATAAATAGTTAATTGACAGAGTTTATTTGGTACGTAAAAAACCACACTCCAGTTCTCTTTCTCTTTCCCTGGTTTATGGACCTCGCGCCTATAGCAGAAACAAAGGAGCTCGACTGTGCAGTAACCCTTGCACGTATCTCTCGCTCACGGCACTCCTAAAGTTGGTTCCCGTACCCATATTTTTCCGTGTTCAGGCTACTGATGTAATGGCTGAAAATTGAACCGAGAAAAGTTCAAAATTCTTCCGTTTGAATGTATATAGCCTTAATTGTCAGGGGCCGGTTGTATCAAGCCCGCGTTTAGCTTTAACCGTGAATAAATCAAAAGTAAATAACACTCTTACATCCCTCTTGAATCAGTCAACCTGAATATTGTATGTGCACCTAACGTGTATAGTTTGTAAACATGATCGTTGTATTAAGGAATAAAAACCTTTAGTTTGCTTATTGAATAAAACTTTAGATTTGCTTTCTATTTTGCCCTTAACCACCGTTTAAGCTAAATGGGGGTGATACAACCGGCCCCAGGCTTGCTAGTTACTACGCCACTGGTGTTTTGTAACTTTGAAGAAAATTGTATATATACTTTGTTTAAACTTTACCTTTGACATTTTTTTCATCTTTTTGTGGCAATACGTGATCATTGTACGGTTTCGTACAAGACAAACATTTCACAGTGAAGATGTTTTCTTTTCGACAGCGATGTTGCTCATGTTGCTGAACAGTATCAAACATTTTACTGCAGTAACCACATTTGATCTTTATTGTGTCTGATTTTACCCCTTTTATCACTTCATATGGTATCATATTTAGAAGACGCTGCAAGAAAAAAGCACAAATTAAGAATATATTCGAGCATTCGGAGCTTGGTTTCCACTAAACCAATTTGTTCCCGTATCGTGATTTGTCAGCGAAAAAAAAAATTTTTTTACGCTAATGGAAAACGGGCTTAAAGGTCGAAACAGACCGGACGCGAAAATTTGGGATCCATGGACGGCAGAGTAGTCAAAATGTATTATCGTTAAGTAATCTACAAGAATATAATAATAGTTTAAAATTTATTTGATTCTGGAAAATGAAAACTGATCGCGTCTCGTTGCCGCATCGCGTCCGGTCTGTGTGGGCCTTAAAGGGATATTGGAAATTGGATAATGCTTTTTATGCTTTCTAAAGAACAAAGCTATGCTATTGGTTGAAACAGAACTATATTGTTAAGTTTAGCCAATGAAAATCATTCTTGCGAGGACCTGCGACACTACCCGGGACCACACACTGGATGCGATTAGCTAACGCGACACGAATTTCACGTCCATTTTCAGAAGCGAATAAATTCAATTCTGAAAGAACATTAAATTGGGAAATATGGTAGCAAACAAGTCAAAATTTAAATTTTTCCACGCGTATAAAAACGCGACAGTAAAAAGCAGCCCTAAGTCACAATGCAATATAAAGAAAACACAGTAGATCAACGTTCTATTACTTCCTATATCAGCCCGCGAGAACAAATGCGCCTCTGAGTGATTTTCTCCTTTTGATAAATGTGATCGAGTGGATAAGTTACGGATGCTTATACACCCTATGTCCCTATTCGCTCGTTTGCATCTGTCAAAAGACGAAGATCCTGCATGTACCTAATTACACTAGCCAGTCAATGTCACTCTAATTACATTCTAGCTAAACTCAACGCTGCTGGTACAGTATGTCCTCCTGACATTATCTGGGCAGTCGATCAGCCAAGTGACACTATTATAATGTTTATCATCTTGTTTGAATTGCTCTAAACTAGGCATATTAGCAGTTCAGCTGGGCAGTAAGGGTATTTCCCATGCGAAACCAAAGCACAGTGAGGTCATGTCATTTTGGTGGTTGGAAACAAGTGACGACCGTCAGGCAGATTTAGATTGAGGACGCAAAGGTCAAAGACGATGTGAAAATTGCGAACAAATGACGTAGTAGCTACATCCCTGGCGCATCACGCCATTTAGGGATCTCATATCGTCTTTTACTTTCCCGTCGTCAACCTAAATCTGTTCATTAGAAAATGTTCGAATAGAAAATGGTAAGACTTGAAAAGAATTCAAGTACTAGTCAACTTTTGCTATACCTAATGTTTTTAGCAAAATGCAATCCCCCGGAAAGAAAGGGGTGCAAATTCTAAAATATCGTGGGTTGGGGATAGCAAAATTCTTTAAAACTACTTTGAAACCCTTGAAGAATCGATTATCTCATCTCTGATGTCCTAATATATATAGTGACTGACAACTGAAAAGCGCGCCAAGTGTTCTGTGTTGGGCCTTTCCTTTGACAAATACTTTCAACTGCCCCAATAGCTACCATACATACATTTGTTTTCATATATAAAGGGAACCGTAGGCTTAGTGATCTTCCCGTTAAAATATCACCGACCTATCAACCTCTGTAAACGGCAATGATAAACGGGGATATATTTTCAACATGCATATTCCCGAGACACGAGTGGGTAAAACCCTAATTACTTGAATTTTTTGATTATTTATTAAATTTTCTCTTTCAATGAGAATACATGTGCTATCCAAGGCCAATTTCATTAAAATAAGAGTAAGAAAAATTATCTGACATCAAAATTTTTGTTTTATAATAACAGAATATTTACTGCATTACCTGATAACTCCATGCGAAAGGAAAAATATTTGTCAAGTTATAAATAATGTTTTTGCCAAGTTGGTAATTATTGGCTCACAATGTCCAAACTATTGGCTCACAATGTCCAAACTATTGGCTCACAATGTCCAAACTATTGGCTCACAATGTCCAAACTATTGGCTCACAATGTTCAAACTATTGACTCACAATGTCCAAACTATTGGCTCACAATGTCCAAACTATTGGCTCACAATGTCCAAACTATTGGCTCACAATGTCCAAACTATTGGCTCACAATGTCCAAACTATTGGCTCACAATGTCCAAACTATTGGCTCACAATGTCCAAACTATTGGCTCACAATGTCCAAATGTTAAATCATTGGTAAATGCAGCAAGGTTTTATTAGAAGTGTGCTATAGGTGAGTGGCATGTGTACAAAACACAGCAAGTCTAACAATGAAATAATCAACATGGACAAAAACCATGTGTATTTGTTATATGCAGCTTTAGGTCTGTTAACCCATTTTTCTGAACATGAACTCCAGCAAAATAGGGGGTCAGTCCATCCAAAATTTTTTTGGGGGGAGGTGACTTTAAAAATGAATTATGTTATAGTGGCTAGATTAATGTGATACGGTATGTATTATATTCGGTCATGAGCAAATGTAAATACATTTGTGGCCAATAATGGTGCTCAAGCTTAAATCAAGCATTGATTAAATCAAATCCAGAAATGCAATGCAAAAATTGATTGTGCGGCCTTAATATTTTACTATTAAACATGTAATTGAACTTAAAAATCCAGTGATTTAAAATGTGAACAAAGTGTTTGCTTACATTTAGGGACTATAATTTTACCACACCATTAAAAAAGGAAATTTCTTAGACCCCTTGGGCAATCTTGGTGACCAACTGGTCTCAGACCTTTATAAATCCACTAGTGTACTGCAAACAATATTATGAGTACTTTATTGCAAAATGGAGCTTTATGAAAAATTTATTATAGCTAAAAATCATTATAGCTTAAATACAAAGTTACCAAGTCCTAAATGTACTAAAAGGCAGCTGAGGTGACTAAAGATATATACAGTTGTTATCCAAATACACTCAGAAATTTATTGCAAAAGCAAATTCAATATGTCTATGAGTACTTTTTATAACACTGACAATTCATTGAATGCTAGCCTGGGCCTGGGCCTGCCTGGCTAATACAATCACTCTCCCAGCCCAAGCACTAGCATTGAGATAAATATATGCATATCGAAACTTTCAGCATTGTATGAGAGCATGCTTATAGATAGAAATAACAACAGCTTTTGCAACTGTTCAGCAAACCAAAATATATTGTGTATGCAGACAGTGCATTATGTTTTGAAAAATGTGCACAAAGCATTTTTTTACTCTTTTGTGAAAATACTCTTTTGTGAAATGAGTATTCTGGGAAGAACTTAATGTAGGCTGTGGTCATGCACAGCCAATGTGGCAAGAGTGAGCTAGCTAGGACAATTGATCACAAATAGTGAGATTATTCAGTGTGCAAGAAAAGTCCTGCAATAACTACTTACTACCGCATAAATTTGCCATGGGCTTTCCTAAATGGGGTCACTCACAACTTCACAATGAGGAATTTTAGCCTTATTAAAGATTACCTGAGTAGCTAATGTACTGCATAGTTAGACATCATAGCTAACTTTAAAAACAATATTCGAGCATGCATTCAAAATTTTCACTTATTTGCCCATCCAAAGAAGGCCAACAACCTTCAGCATTGCAAAGAACAACAGTCTTCAAATAATATACCACATGGTATATATACCACAGCATTGACACGGTTTTAAAAATATACCTCGAATTTTTTATAAACATAACATCTTTAGCAGATTAATAGCGCTACGAAGCAAAGGTAACTGCTGTAATCTTATACTGCTAACAACAATTAATAAATTTTATCTAAATTCAATAAAACGTTGTCATGTTCGTACCTCTTCGGTTAGTTTTCGGAGCTGTAAATTCCGCTAGATTTCACCGGTTTTTTCACAAACTTTTGGTTAAAACTTTGCAACGACACCTTAAACAAAGCAATACACAGGCATCGAAGGTAATCATGGGAAATCGTTAAATAGCGCCCAGTCTTTTCTTGGCTTGCCAATGCTCTGGGACAGTGTCTGGGAATCTCTGTTTAGTTTGCCTTATGGCACGTCGTACGAAACAAAACTGCTCTGTAATTTTGCCAAAATTTACAATTTTTTCAGGGGTTATGTGGGAAAATTATTATCATGTAAATTACAGTCTATAGAAAACACGGTTCAAGGAGGTACAGCGGGCCTTTAGGCTGTAGTACAGCGACAGCCTAATATACGCCAGAGCATTCGTAACTGATTATTCAAAAGAAGAAAATCGCACATAAAATTGCAGCAAAAATCGCAAGTGTAAGCGTTAAGGTCACCCCGAACAAGAAGGTTAGGATAAAGTCGTGAGCACGGATATCCGTCATCCGTCAAATCACAGTGTGGTCGAATCAGTGAACTCTAAAAAGACTGGAACGATAACTTGGCCGCCATCTTTGAAGCCAGCACTGATGGCCGCCATGAAGGCCAAGAGTTGAAATTACACCACCAAAACAACGCCGGTTTTTATACACAAATCCATCTCATCTGATCATGAGTAAAAGCTTAAAACAAGCATTGACACTTAGATTTTACTAAAAAACAAGTTTTATGAACGTGAAAAGGTGCAAACCTATTTTTTTTGCGAGTTGAAGGCGAAGTTTTTTTCCGGCCCGTTCAAATTCTTTAAATATTTCAAGTACAAAGCTGGTACCTCGCCGGTTTTTACAGTAAGATGATGCGGATTGCTTAGGTCTATCCAAAAAGGGTAAATTCGTTGTTTAAAGTTGAAGTGGTCAAATAAAAATTGCACTTTTCTGGCATTTTTTTGGCCAAAAAATACGATTTTTACGGAATTCTCACTCTCCCCAGTTCTTTTGAAGGCTTGATTTGGTCGCGCGGCTCCCGCCTTAATCAGCAAATTATATTCAAATCGGCTTCATCCAATGACTAGTCTTTATTGTTGAGTTATCGTTCCAGTCTTATTAGAGTTCACTGGGTCGAATCAGTGAACTCTAATAAGACTGGAACGATAACTTGGCCGCCATCTTTGAAGCCAGCACTGATGGCCGCCATGAAGGCCAAGAGTTGAAATTACACCACCAAAACAACGCCGGTTTTTATACACAAATCCATCTCATCTGATCATGAATAAAAGCTTAAAACAAGCATTGACACTTAGATTTTACTAAAAAATAAGTTTTATGAACGTGAAAGGGTGCAAACCTATTTTTTTGCGAGTTGAAGGCGAAGTTGTTTTTCGGCCCGTTCAAATTCTTTAAATATTTCAAGTACAAAGCTGGTACCTCGCCGGTTTTTACAGTAAGATGATGCGGATTACTTAGGTCTATCCAAAAAGGGTAAATTCGTTGTTTAAAGTTGAAGTGGTCAAATAAAAATTGCACTTTTCTGGCAATTTTTTGCCAAAAAATACGATTTTTACGGAATTCTCACTCTCCCTAGTTCTTTTGAAGGCTTGATTTGCTCGCGCGGCTGCCGCTTTAATCAGCAAATTATATTCAAATCGGCTTCATCCAATGACTAGTCTTTATTGTCGAGTTATCGTTCCAGTCTTATTAGAGTTCACTGGGTCGAATCAACAAAAGCATCGCCCGCCATTTAACCCCCCCCCCTTCACTGGACTTGGGGACTTGCCTAGAGGCTAGAGCTATAGTTATACCGAAAAGGGGCAAAAGCGTTACATGTTCTCCAAAGCAATCAAATAGATATTTACATCTCGTTGATAGCTGCTGCGCATGCGCTACTAAGCGATAGTCGGACGAACGATGACGAACATACTCACTCGAGCGCTTGTTATATCTTCGGAAAATTTCGTGAGTTGCTTATTGAGAATTCAAGATTTCATTTTCGCAACCTCGTATTCAGGGTTTTATTTCCTACGCTCCATGGCCCCCGCTTTTGCCGCAGCGTTGGCTGCTTCAATCGCTCAATTGTCTATTGTGGTCGAGCAATTTCGATCACAAACGAATTGACTAATTAATATACGAGCGAATCGGTCTTTCTTACGAACTTGCCCGCAATTACTTTTTGTCACCTACATGTTTATAAACGTGCACGAGAATAACCGAAGGGTTGCTCGCACTTATCGTCATAGATTAGGCATCATATGAATGAAACGATGAAAGGCTACGTAAAAACTGAACCTAACCAGTGTGTATGTACTAAGGTTTTAAAATTAAACGTTTCCATCGGGAAAGTGCATGTGTTGAGATTGAACTCAGCCAATGTGCGGGTGTATACAGCCATTGTGTTGATATATTGAATTGAAACAAAACGCCTACACCTACTGAACTAACGATTATCATTAGACAACTATTGTGTTGGGCTGAGATTATTTTTGCCTGCCGCCTTGCACACATTACTGAAAAATTTATTGACATGAAATCAACAATTGACCTTTATTTTAGACAAATTTGGCGTTACTATTTAAGTTCTTTGCTCCAGGAGTGGTTCATATTTTACAATTTTACAGGCTGTCTCAACAGGCTGTGCAGTTTTTTGTCCAGTTTCGTATATTGCAGTCAGTGATGCACGTTGCGAACTTGTGTTTATGTATAAAGTAAGATAAGGTTGGCAACTAAATTTATAATATTTAACATCATTCGTTGACCGTTGTGGCATTTATACATGCGATAGCAAACACTTTTTTGTTGAAAACAACGCTGAATGAAAAAAAAAATTGAAGATATTTTCAGGTTTTCATGATTTTTTTCTGCAAAATGACTCGCGATTCCGAGCAAAGTTTAATTTTCAAAAATATAGAAATCTTTTCATGCCATATTCCGAGCCGAGTGACTTTTGGAAATCTTCGATCACCATAGTTACCAATACCAGACACAATAGTAAAAAATGGCTGAATTGGCAAAAAATATTATAAAAGTTTTTGAATGAATATATTCATCATTAATTACACACAACAATACAATACCGTGTGTCCCCCAAAAAAGTACCTTCAGCTGATCTGGGTGTAAAAATCAACCAATCAGAAGCCAGATCTTGGACAAAATTAAATGATCATTTCCTTCATTGCATATGACTTCGACACTCGAAAATATCAAGTAATTTTATCATATTTATGTGAAAACACGTTTATTTTTTTCCCAACTGCATATTATAGCATTCAAATTTTTCACCCTTTATACTATTAGTTGGAAGAATAAGGAGAAATAACACCAGGCACATGATAACTCAGTTTTGTCGAGACGCTTTATGACGTCATGATCTCAGATCAGCTGGCTTCTATTGAAATCATTCTTTTGTTGTTAAGGGTACTGTTTTGGGACACATGCAACTGAATGAAGCACTAGAATAAGCCAATGAATAACTTTTCTTCGCACAGGGTAAAACCCGAATAATAATTTATAACAATTCGGTGAATTCTTGCCTTTTTTTTTCAAAATAACTTTCGAGGTTTGATTAAGAAGTATAGTCCAGGGGCCGGTTGTTCGAAAGATGGATAACTTATCCAACGGATAAGTCCTATCCAACGGATAAATCTGCTATCCAGTGGATAGTTATCGATTCGATAAAAACGCGTTGCACGAAGCGTGGATAGTGAATTGAATAGCTATCCCGGCAATAGACAAGTTAAAATTTACCGGAAGAAAACAGGATTATCCTGAAATTTCGTACCACAACGTCAGCTGTTGCTAAGCATTTACAACATTGAATTCATAATCATTACGAATTCTCGAGTATAGTTACTGAATGGAAAAGTAACTATATCGCATCGCAATTTTATTCCTTGACCTTGCAACGCTTTGCTATTCGGTTCCATAGCAAATTTAGGAACACTATTTTAATGTTCGTGAATGAAATTACTTAGATATTAGCAAGTTTCCTTGGAATAGGTTGAATCTTTCTTTGCATATTCGCGTTTATAAACTGATTAGAAGCGTATAGTAAATTTACCGCCTGTTATAAATGCGAGGATCTCCAAAAAATCGCCGCTCGGAACGGAATGTGTAGGCAACGTGAAACGCTGCTGCGACAAATTGCACTTCGAAACATTTCTAATAGTGAATACAATCATGATGTGTATTAGTTTGTTGAAACACAGTAACAGGAATATGGCATTTTTGTCCTATTTTATATAAATGTTTACAGTGTTACCTTGTATCTTTGAATTTATCCACTGGATAGTGGATTTAAACCACCTCCAGACCTTGGATAAATTTATCCGGTAGATAGCGATTTTTATCCGCTGGATAAAGTTATCCAAGCTTCGTGCAACGCAAATCACACGCTGGATAAAACTTATCCGTTGGATAGCGACTTATCCGTTGGATAGCGACTTATCCACCTTTACTGTAATGCCTGTGGGAATAAGCCACAGTGCGTATAATGTTAAGAATGGAACTCGACGTCTGTCCATGTAAAAACTGCATCAATCAAAACGAATCGTTTTCACCTCTTTATCGACACTTAAATAAAAGTATTAAACCGCTCATTACCAGTGGCGTAGCTAGCATTGATAATTGGGGGGGGGGGGCATATTCATGTAGTCATGATAACAGACTGTAAAGACAATCGATTTCAAAAGAAATTAATCCTGCGTAACATGAATATATGCTGAATATTGCCCCTTCCCAATTATCGTTCTGGCTACGCCACTGCTCATTACTTTCTATAATGAGTGTCAAAAATCATTATTGACCAGGTGAAGGGCTTGACTTTAAGTTCATCATATAAATAAAGAAAGATACTGATTAATATATAAATTATACTCATGCAGTCACAGAGAGACAAGTCCGAGTAGCATAATTAACGTTTGGAAACAAGAAACAAAATGAACTCAACTTTTGAACAAGTATATTTCGAAACTTGTCGTATGTTTGACGTGGAAATTTATGTAGTTGTCAAATTTCCTGACATTTGGAACGTAATTCTACACGCTACTGCACTTGCTATCAATATCTGTCTAATATTTACTACATTAATTT